AGCTCTGAGCTGGTAGAAATGAGGAGGGGTTGGAGATAGGGTAGTTGTCTCCCTTGCGTTTGGACAAGGTTGCAATCGAAAAGCCAATTGCCCAGCGTGTAGTGACTCAGCCCCGTTCAGTACACATGTCTAATGGAATGCTTCCAAGATCACTCTGTAAAACTGCCAAAGAACAGACTGCTGTTCTTGGAAAGAGGGGAATTATTCTAATCGCAAATACCGACAGCCAGCGCCCCCTATCGTCAGCATATTGAATAATCCTTCTGCTAGGAATTTCACGTTTTTATCAAATGCATAACGATTGTAATTTAAATTAAGTTACGGCAGATTTAACAGGGGAGTCTCGAAAGCCAGTCATCGCTTGCTGATTCCTCATCGAAAGTTTCAAGTATGAAATCTAGTGCCAGACATCATCTTGCCTTAAAGTGCAGATGATTAATAGAACCATGCAGTGAAATAATCATGAAAAAATATTGATCTTCCCAGCGCGTATTATGCATTAATGCCACGAAACGTGTGCCAAAGTTAAATAAATGACTGTTTGATTTATAAAATATGCTTTATTTTTACAAGAGTCGGATCAAACGAAAACACGGCTGGAGTTGATCAAGCTTCAGTTTGAGCTTGACCGAGTACAAAATTATTTACTTTTGTCTGATGGTGTGTATTCCACTCTGCAACCTCTTTCCCGTACACTCAAAGTTGAGCGCTTATTGCTATTTCCATGGCAATTATTCAAATGCTTTCTATTTACAACTGTTATTCCATGCTGCTTTCATTGTGTCGAATCATCTCCATTCTTCCCCACACACCTTATTGTTGATGTTAAAGGAAAATCAAAATCAGACTTCCCCCACGCTACCATTTTCTAGAACGGACTCTCGATTGGGTCTGCGCTGAATACTGCAATCTTAACTTGTTCAAGTCAATGGTGAACCGTTATCTATCCTTCTTATTCACCGTCGTCTGTTACTACAACATCCTAATTTCTTTACCTGTTTGATTTCTATCCTGAAGATACAACGGTATATAGGTGCACCTCGAAATTTGTAGATCAGTGATCTCAACGTGGGCCTAGAGCAGTAGAGTGAAATGAGCCGAGACTTACACCTGGAGTTGAAACCAAGACTTCGAAGATCAAATTGACAAGCCGATAAATAAACACTAGGAGCAGTGTAGTCATTGATCAGGATTTATATTTTATACTACATTTTGTGTAAATAAAATGTATTTCCAGTTACATGGAATTTCTAATTGTGCTTATGCAGGCCTGGAATGATTTGGTGCTAAATGGGAGCCACAAGAAAGACAAGCTTGAGAAACACTGCTCTAGACGACAAAGGATTGGCAGCTGATCTCTTCTCTGGCCTATCTCTAACAGTTCAGTAAGAGATAAACTGGCTGCTCACATTTAATACCTCGAAAAATAATAACATTCATCGCTGACCCGGAACTATCAGCAATTGCGATGAAGTGATCTTCCCTGAGGGAGAAACATTGCCTTCAGCGTCTAATGGGACGTAAACTCAACCTAGACTTCAAGATGAGCTTTGATGTACGATCCATCGCTAAAGACTATACTGGAAAATTGTTCGGTTCCCTGTACTGCTTATATAAGTACCTGACTTCTCTTGCGACCCTCGACGTTTAGAAGAGCCAGATTAGCCCGAAAACGAAGTATTGATGTTATATATGGGCTGCCATGGTTTCACTTTTCAGACACGATTCGGTCAAATAGTGTCTTTTCGTCCTCGTGCCTGACGATTGATGTTTCCACTCTACAAACCCTTTTCTCACAGACGAAACGTAACAAGCCTCTTGCTGCTCAATCACTATTTTTATGGAATTATTTACTTTAATTTGGCGAAGTCTGTTCTTATAAGCACGTATGTGTGTGAGTCTTAGCATTTTTACTGAAATTCCATACATACCCTTGTGCAAATTAATTGTAACAAAACGACTATATTCCGTTATTATTTACTTTTTTCCCTATTTTTCCAATGAAACAGGACCCAATGCACATATTAGTACTTTGTATGTCTATTCCACGAAGTCGTTCCTTTCAGATCGATTACAGATTATCGATTGGATTTAAATCAGAAGAGTTTCCAGGCCAATCTATACTACTTTGATTTTCTCACCGGTAAAGCTTGCCAGTATGTTCGTGCAGTGTTACAAATTTTCGTACGCTTCCTTGGAGTAATGTCCATCGCAGACAATGGCCGTAGGACAAGTAATCGAGAGTCGAGACAATAGTATCTGGTCGTGATGAAAATCTGGTGCAATCGTAGATGATGCAATTTTTTTCAAGGCCAAACAAATTTCTTCATACACCCCGAAAATAGATTCATATTACTTCACGGAACTGCAGATGACCTAATCTGAGAAAAAATAGAAATCGATTACACCCTGTAACTCCGGTGGATGAAAGAAAGGAAACTAAAGCGGTTGTTTCAATTAATTTGCACTAGGATGCAGCTGTAACAATTCAGGGGGAGAAAAGTGGCTGTTCATATTCAAGACCTCGAAAACTAAACTAGTGACGTTTCATTATCACCGACCAGACAGAGATGAAAATGAACGGGTAATTCCTGAGGGCAGCCTCGTGCTTGAGCGCCTGTTAGGGCAAACTCAACCTTGAATCAAGTGGTGTTCGTACATTCGATCCATGGCTCGAGATGCTGGAAACATAGTCGGATTCCTGTATCGCTTCAATAAGAAACTGATTTCTATTATCGTCTACTTTTACAAGAAGTGGGTCAGTCTGAAAATGGAATACTGCTGCAATATATGGACTTGGGCTACCCAGTCTTGACAGAGTACAAAAAGCGTCTGCGCCTCCTTGTGGGTAATGAATTATATTCCAACCTAAAATAAAAGACAAAATGTCCGAAGCGTCTCGCTGCTTTATCGCTATTTCCTTGGCAAATGTTCACACGAACGACATTCCTTAGTTCCACCAGTTCTAACCTCTAGGTTTTAGACCCGCCATATTACATACACTGTAGAGATCCAGTCTTAATCCTTTTCTATTCCATTTATGAGATGTAAGTTCAACTCGAGCAGCTTCTTGCCACGAACCGCTGCTTTTTGGAACCGACTCCCAAGAGGATGCTTCCCCAATTACTACAGTCTTAACCTATAAGTTTAACAGTTATATTCCCAACATATCCGTATAAACTTTGCTTCTTACCATGTAACCTTCTATCTCTATTGACGTTGGGCCTTGTACAGGGTGGACATCACGGTAAATATATATATATATATATATATCCTCATACTTACACTTTCTCTAAATTCTGTTTTTATTTCCGGAGTTGTTTTTTTTTTCTGTTTTCTTTTGGAATTTCTAGGTCTGATGAATTGGATCGTATTTACGATTCCAATGGAATAAATTATGACCATGGAATATTAGTGTTTAAGCCTTTCTACTATATATATATATATATATATATATATATATATATATATATATCGTGTATTGGGGCAGAAGATCATTATTCAAACATATATTGTTAAATATAACAGACACCGAATATCGATTATGTTTGATCATGAGCCGCTCTAAGTTTCGTATGGTAGTTTTAGTTTCCGGAGAAAATAATCTCAGAAACTGTCCAAAAACTGTCTTTCTCTTATGCGTTCTGGTACGACGTGATAGAACTGAATTACGAATTGACGACCTGCGTCTGCTATTCCGCGACCGTTATCGTCGCATATCAAATTTCTATGTAAACATAACAGGGATGTCATATTTGATGGTGAACATCTCTGTAGTAATGTCCATATAACCACTCTGGCGATGCCTCATCTGAGCCGAAAGCTTAGACCGAGGAACAGAATAATAAAAATATCCAGATGTTGGGTAGTTTAGTGTGTGTGTATATATATATATATATATATATATATATATATATATTCTCACCGGTTATATAACGTTTGATTTCCGGTGCTAGTACTTTCGGAAATTTTCACAGTCAGGCTTTAATATTTTTCTATTTCAGGTAAACCCCAAGATGAAATAAATGTATTGCAGACCGAAAGATGTTTTTAAGAATGTGTGTATCATTCTCAGACAGTACTGTTTCACTGTATCACAGCTCCTCAGTGCGAATAGACATCCAAATACCTCAAACCAGGATTGAAACCCAACTGATTTGGTGTCAGGGAGAGCTTCTACCACTGAGCTATCTTCACTCGTCAGAGTTACACAGCTAAATCTAGCGTATTGTTTTTACGAATGTAAAGAAATGCCAATCAACCGGAGTGCTCCAATTCATTCTACTGAAGAGCTTTGCAAGGGTGTATCAGATTGCGTTTCCAGACCGAAGACAGTCGAGTCATCCAATGTTTGCTTCTGCTTATCCGACCGCAAATTATAGGTCAAGGAAGACCGATATCTGCACTTATGCTTGACCAAGGAGTACACATTCTACAGGTTGTCGGAGACGATCCAGGTCTCAGCACACGTCAAGTGGGCCGAGCATGTCTTATATCTACCATACTTTGTTACAGGATGGTAGCCGAGCACACCTGGTGCAGAGTCAGGGGTTGTGACATTCTTGCCAACACTTGCCATTCTGAAATAAAAAAAATTAGCAGTGCAATATGAAATTATACTAATTAAGGATGACAAAATGTTTTACTTCAGGAAATGAAAACGTGGTGATATTAACAAACAATAAATAATGTTTAATGGGCAGTTTCTACCCACCCTGTATACACACACACACACACACACACACATATATATATATATATATATATATATATATATATATATATATATATATATATATATACAATGGTGTGTTGAAAATGTTTATATATATATATATATATATATATATATATATATATACAATGGTTTGTTGAAAATTTTGTATGTATATATATATATATATATATATATATATATATATAATATAATATACAATGGTGTGTTGAAAATTTCTCAGTCTGACGATATTCGGAAATATCAAATTATCAGATTTAAGGAAATGCTTTCTTGTCTCCTGTGTGGGACCGGTAACTTCTTAGCACACTGTGTGTGGTTGTGTATGTGTGTTTATGTGTGTGTGCTTTTATTTGTGTGTGCTTGTGTGTGTGTGTGTGTGTGTGTGTGTGTGTGTGTGTGTGTGTGTGTATCTTCTTTTCATAAGTTTCCTTCTGGTGTTATTATTTCAACCCCTTTTTTCGTCTCCTTTCCTTCATTATTCTCCATAAATGTAAATCTTTATCTTTTCTAATTTCACTTTCACTTTTCTTTCCATATATTTCCCTCTGCCTTTTACTTTCATTCGATTTCAATTTTTCGGCCACATTTTTTCTTTGTTTCTTTCTTTTTTTTCTTTCTATCAATGAATTCCTGCTGGCCTTTTTTATTTATAAATTCCCTTTAATATTTCTCTATTTTCACTTTCACTTTACATTATTTTTAATTTCCTTTCACCTTCTTATACTATTTCTCTCTCCTTCTCTTTTTTTTCCTTCAAATGTTCTTCCCAATCTTTCACTTTTCATACATTCATTCATTCTTTTTTTGTTTGTTTGTTTGTTTGTTTCTTTCTTTCTTTCTATTCATTTTTTCTATCATTTGCATTTCTTTTTTTTAACATATTTTCTCCCTGCTTGTCACACTTTCTCTCACTATTCCTTCGGTTTCAGTCATACATTTCATCTTTCTTTCTTTCTTTCTTTCTTTCTTTCTTTCTTTCTTTTTTTCTTTCTACGACATTATTTTTCACTCTTCGTTAATTTTTCCTTTTTTGTTGCATTCTCTCCATTTTCTGTTTCTTTCTTTCTTTCTTTCTTTCTTTCTTTCTTTCTTTCTTTCTTTCTTCCTTCCTTCCTTTTTTTCTTTCCACACAGATTCTTTCTTCCTTTTTTCTCTAACGTTATTTTGTGCTGATCATTAATTTTTTCCATACATTCTATTCTATTCTTTCTTTCTTTCTTTCTTTTTTCATTCTTTCTTTCTATTGTTTATTATTTGTTTAATTTTTTTACTACACTCTCCGCTTTCTTTTTTCCTTTTCTTTCTTTGCATTCCCTTCCTTCCTTCTTTTCTTTTTTCTTTTTTCCACATGCACTTTTCATTTTCTCTCTTTCTTTCTATAATATTATTTTCTAGTGTTCATTATTTTTTCATTTTTTCGTTAATTTATTTCTTTCTTTATATTCCCTTCTTTCTTTTATTCTTTCTTTCTTCTTTTCTTTCTTTCGTTACATTCTCTTTCTACATCATCTTCTTTCTATCTTTCTTTCTTTCTTTCTTTCTTTCATTACATTCCCTTCTTTCTGTGTTTCATTCATTCTTTCTTTCTTTCTTTCTTTATATTCTCTTCTTTATTTCTTTCATTATTTATTTTTCCTTTCTTTCTTTCTACACACAGTTTTCACTTTCTTTCTATTTAATTATTTTCTGCTGTTCATTAATTTTCTTTCCTCTCTTTCTTTCTTTCTTTTATTTAATTTTCTGTTTTACTTTTATTTGTTTTTTCTCTTTCTTTCTTTCTTTCTTTTTACTGAATACCACAACTTTGTCCTTTAGTCTTCATTCATTCCTTCTTTTCTCCTCTTCATTCTCACCGTTTCCTCTTCTATTTCATTTCACACACCCTCCCTCTTTAATCCCTTCGGCCTTTTCTTCCCTTTCACCCCTTCGCCACGAGGCTTTCTTAATCCATCTCTAATGAGGAAAGGAAATCATTTCACTTTCAGACTTCGCCGATAGCTGTGTTTGAATATCTTTTCGTGTCCCCTTACCGGACAGTCACATAAAAATAAAGTAACTAAATAAAAAACAGACATCACACTGGATTTGCAACGTGATTTTGATTCCAGATTCTTCAAGTCATACGAGAAAACCTCAATGTAGCTTTTTCTCCAAAGACTAAAGTCTCAAAAAAAAAAAAAAAATTACCCGAGGGACTGAACCTTTCACCAAATTGTAAAGAAAATGGCGATATTTATTTATAATTTTTCGGTGCCTTAAGCAATATCAATCTTATCGACAGAACTTCCATAAAAATGGAGGGATTAAAAAAATAGCTTCTAAAAATGCAAAGCTGACACTACAAGTTTACATTTATTTTATTTATTTATGCTATTTCTTATATTTTCAGTTTTTTCATATTTTTTTTTAATTAGAAATGCAGCTCACAAAATCTTGCCTTTGAAACAGTTGGGTGTTAAACCTTCTCCCCCCCCCCCTCGACCCTCTTTTGTTTTCTTCTTTTAGAGTAAATATAAAAATAAAAAAAAAGTTAAAATATCATCGGGTTTTGGGACCTGACCGTTGGATCAGTTAATGCTGCTGATCGGTGTTCTAACCCAGGTAAATGCATTGAATATCAATTTTAAAGTCAGGAACTTCCCTCCTCGTATGGTAAGACCGGCATTTTATATATTTCTACTTTTCGGGTTGCCTCGATCTGACTTAAAGGAAGCTAGATAATTTTATGCTAATATTCACGCTATATAAATTTTATGCAGACGTTGCCTGAGATATGAAAACTAGTTCAAGTGTTTCACAAGAGTAAAAAAATGGTTGAGAAATGCTGGTCTGGAATTTCTTAAGGTAGATGTTTATTGATAAAATGGTTATAATGAATGACGTTTATAATATAAATGAAAAAGCAGGTGACACAATGTAAAGATAATGAGTATGAGAAGAATAGATATCGATTGACCGATGACTTGAAGGTATTAAGGTTGTAGTATTAATAATATTGTCCACGAAGATGTAAGACCGGCATTATATATATATATATATATATATATATATATATATATATATATATATATATATATATATATATATATATATATATATATATGTATTTTTCTACTTTTCTGGTTGCCTCTATCTGACTTAAACGAAGCTAGATAATATTTATGGTAATATTCGCGCTATATAACGGTCTAGAACAATCATTTTTATGCAAACGTTGCCTGAGACATAAGATATAGCGCGAATATTATAAATAAAACTTAAATAAATAGAAATATAAAACATAAATAAATACATAAATAAAATAATAAATACATAAATAAAACATAAATAAAACATAAATATCGATTGACGCATGACTTGAAGGGGTTAAGTTTGTCGTATTAAGAAAATAGTCCACAAAGATGTAAGATCAGCATTACATATATATATATATATACTTTTCTGGTTGCCTCCGAAGCTAGATAATGTTTATGTTAATATTTGCGCTATATAACGGTCTAGAACAATCATTTTTATGCAAACGTTGCCTTAGACATAAATAAAACTTAAATAAATAAAAATATAAAACATAAATAAATAGAAAAATAAATACATAAATAAAACATAGATATCGATTGACCTATGGCTTGAAGAGGTTAGATTTGTAGTATTAAGAAAATAGTCCACGAAGTGTATGTTCCATAAAATTGCAGTTCTTGTGGAGAAAATGTCGTCTGAATGAATCTGACCACACATTTGTAATACAGGGGATACAAGGGTGATTTGCGTCCGTGGTAGTAGCGGGCCGTGTCCGAGTTGTAAAAGTCTTGAGTGGTGGAACTAAAGAATGGAATTCATCTGAACGTTTTTCATGGAATTTTCTTTTACAATGATGGCCAACCTGTAATTTCCCAAGAGAGACACGAAGTAGAGGTTTAAAGAGAGAAAGACACAATTGATGTAGATATGTAGGTAAGAAAACGCTTAACGCTAGATTTGAACAGGTTAAAATGGCGTTAATCGAGGAAGCATTTTATTGGTAGTCACTTGCACAAAGCAACGGGCCATGGAAAAAAGTTGTTCGAATGGAGCTTAGATCTCGCCAAAGGAATACGATAGGAATGAGGGTGGTTCACTACAATGTGCGTGGCATGGAGGGTCATAGAAGTAACTAAGGAAAGTAGTTCGTATGTGCACTGTCCATTGAAATAGCGGTAAAGTAGCGTGAAGGTTTCCAACTTTTTATCTGTTGGAAAGGGTGAAAAATAATTCATCACTCACAAGGACGCGGACACTGAAGTTTGGGCAGCTCCTGCACATATATAACAGCAGTACTCTATTTTAGAACTGACCTCGCTCTTATAAAGGTACAGGATATCAGGAGTCAGTTACTTTCTGAAGCCGTACAGGGAACCGAATATTTTTCCAGCATCTTTATCCTTGGATCATATGTACAAGCTCCATGATGTCCCAATAGGTAATCAAGATATGAGGTGTCCTTGAGGGAACATCAGTTCATCACGATTGGTGAACGTTCTGGGTTCAATAGGTGATGATCAAATGTCACTAGTTTGATTTTTGAGGCATTAAATACGACCAGTTAGTTTTTGCTCCACTGAGCTGTTAAAGCTGGAGCAAAGGAGAGATCAGCTGCCAAGCTCTGGTCATCTCGAGGTTTGAAGGTGCGTCCATATACCGTTGTATCCTCAGCATAGATATTCACAAATGATCGGTGAATACTGATAAGCAGATCGTTTAAGTAAAGTAAAAAAGGGTTTGAACCGAGAAGCTTGTGATCTTGTTTTTAGGAGGACAAAAGCGGTTTGAAGAAAACGTTTTCCTCTCCAAACGTCTGCATAATTGGTTTTGAACTCTAGAGAAATAGTGAAACAGCCCCAACGTAATTATATATTGCAGTAGAACTCCATTTAAGTGGTTATATTGTTGTGAATTAAGAATTCTTTAAGTAAAACAAATATATAATCTTTGGTTTGCATTGAGCATATTGCAGAAATAATCTGTTCAGTTCTTAACGCCTGATGAGAGAAAGAAATAATGGAGGAAGCAACTGATGTTTTGTACTAGATATCGATTTATTTATGAAATCCAGTGAACGCGGGGAGCTGCACCTGGTGCTAGGAGGACATCTTCCCGATCAACCAGATGATGCGCCTGGTTTTTATGAAGTTTCCTCAATGACATGAAAGTCGCTTCATACAATTTTGTATGTCTTGTGCGTGATTCGCTTACTGAATTACTGTCAACTAACGGTAAGAAGACGTAAATCTACAACTGTTCGAGAACATTCATCGACTGAGCATACCCAACCCACGACAGGATACCCACATCACTTGAATTGGAACATACATCCCATAACTTGGCACAGACATCCAACGACTGCTAGGCACACCCGTATCAGTACAGGGTACATACATCCTTCAACGGGCTCCACACATCTAAACAACTGGATCAACACATCCCTCGACTGGGTGCAGACATCTCATAACTGACTTCACTATAATAGCATTAAATCCACACAAAAAAAACTTTTTGAAGTGATATATATATATATATATATATATATATATATATATATATATATATATATATGTGTGTGTGTGTGTGTGTATATATATATATATATATATATATATATATATATATATATATAGTCATCCACAGACGGACTCTTTCGCTGTATCACACACATCAGTGTAGCTAGACGTCCGGTTGCGTCTAGCTAGGATCGAAACCTGGCTGAATTGGCGCAAGTCGGAGATTCTACCCCTAAGGCATTGGCGCACGGCAGGGGTGATGGTTATATATATATAAACTGTGTGTAACAGCAAAATTGTCTAAATCGTGTAAAAGCAAAATTATCCAATTGTTAGATTAAGATTTGAACAACTGCATCTTAGACATGATTAAAGATATCTTACTGGAATTCTCCAGGTTTTTTATAACACTATTGGACTCTGATTTGAGCAATAACAATGTATACTTACTCTACAATCGCGATGAAATCGATCATAAATGAAAATGACATGTTCATCATGAATTAATCATAACTAAGGAACTGAAGAATTGAAATAAAGTTTCATCTAGCATCTTTGTTGGTATAATATTTATTATTTTTGCTTTTTTTTTCCTTTTTTCTTCCCCGTCCATTCATTCATGTCATCCGCGACAGATTGTCTTTTCATAATTTGTTTCCCCGTTAACAGTTCTGATGAGAGAGGACGGAACCGGTCGACTAGTGTTTGTGTTTTTATTTTAAATTTATCATGGTCTATAATAAAAAAAATTCTTGCTTTTTTACGCCATAGTATATATATATATATATATATATATATATATATATATATATATATATATATATATAATTATTTATTTAAAAATATGATTCCAACACGCTACATAAGAGTTCTATGCTCTACTTTTGTATCGAGCACTATTTTTTAAAAATAATAACTAAAATACTAAAGACCTAACGAGTTCTTACCTATTTTCTATATATTTTTCACATATATTTTTCAAACACACACACACACACACACACATATATATATATATATATATATATATATATATATATATATATATATTTCCAGTATAGTTTTCCAACTTATTGTAGATGACCTTTGTCCTCTTTAACCTTCAATCTTTCTGTCTTGGCAACAAGGTGCCTCTGAAATTTCACATACGATTTCATTTTCAAGTCTTTTTTCCCCTGCACTTTGGATTGTTAGCGGTAAATCTCCTCTCTCAAGTACCAAGCGTCTTATGGATTGAGTTGGATCTTTTCTAGTTGATCGCTTTAGCTCTGACTTGAAATGATGACCCCTCTTCCTGTTCTAACCTCCTGATCCAGTTTTCCTCTCTCCTGTTCCTTCTTTTTTAAAACATATTCAACGTTCTCCTGTTGGCTCTTGAATGGACTTTAAAAATGAAAGCCAGTGCATGAATGTTGGTACCATTACTGAAGGCATGAATGATATTTTGTCTTTTCACCGTTGCTC